AACTCCATAACTGTCAAAACTTTCACTCTTGTCAACCTCCTTTGCAAGATCCTTTGTGGCAGGATGTGGATGATTGGCTAGCACAATTGCAAAACTACTGGTGAAGTGGGTAGGAGAAATATCAATAACAAGGCATTATCAAAAACCTCCAGGCCTATCTAGAGAATTTTTCAACAGCATTTCTGCAAGTGATTTGATACACAAGCTATTCTGACATTAAATCTCAGATACCGACGTAGATGTAGCAAATGTGCTGGCTACATTCTGTGGCATTCCAGCCTAGCGTGATCCCAACTAGAAGCAATCAACAGCTGATTGCTTTGCCTCCAACTTGGCTTTTAGTTTAGATGAATTTTCCAACCAACCACACTGCAATGAAGATAAGGCAAAAGACACCTTTTAATTGTTACCTTCAATATCAACAAAGGTGACCATTCAATTGCCCGTACTAATCATCATGATCCTAACTTCATTGGACCTTTTTTGTACCTCCTCATCACCAAGTTGCCATGATCCAATTGCATAAACTGATGACATCTGCCGGGTGGTATTTGATTTGGGTAGATTTGATATTGCAATGCTCAACAAACTCATCCACCCCTCACCTCCTTTGGCTGCTCTCTTCAAGTCACCAGAGCATGTGTTGATGCATTTCAACACATATTAGGGGGTATCAAATATAGGAAATCCACCATCAGAAACCAGGCACTTTTCCAAAAACTTTTTTTTGCATAAATGGGCCCCAAAATGGGTTAAATGGATAACCAACATGTTTAAAAAAGGGTGGGTTTTTTCAAACCAGTCAATTAATTAATGGTGGATTTGGTTATATTTGATACCCCCTATTTAGTAGATTTTATAAAGATAACATAACCAATAAAGGTAGAAAGGAACAGATATATTGCTAATCACAATCACATTGACAACAAAGTCTCAAACCTTATTACAAATCTGATTTAAATTGTTTTCTCACTTCAAGTTGATTTTCCCAGTTATTTCAGTTGGAAACCATATATTTAAATAGGGTTGATAAATCTTTCACCTTTATGCTTCTATTATATTACCAGGATTTTCTTTCAGATATTTCAACTACAGCTATAACGAGAAAGCTTGCGGGCTTAAAAGATAGAAAATCAAAAAAAAAAAAAAAAACGTCGGCTGCAGTCGGAATATTTGGAAGAATACAGCCAGATGTACAGGTTGTCATGTACTGGCCAGCGGCACTGATGGGACCTGACCAGCCCCCCTGGGGGGTAGCTCTGCCCTAGCAAGGCCATGGATTGGAAGGTGGATGGAGTAAACTTTCCATCAGGATTCTGATGGTGTTACCCTCATAACCTGAAAGTGAGTGGAAAAAAAGTTAGCGGATTTGATCGGAGGTAATCCATACATACATGGACCTGTATTCTTCCAAAGCTTCCAATTGTTTTCCGTATTATTTTTTTATTTTTTTTTATTTTCTATCTTCCAAGCCCGCAAGCTTTCTCGTTATAGCTGTATCTCTCATTTTGTAACATTTTTGCCCATGAACTGTGGAATGTCCTCACTCTTGTTCTCACTATCATTAATCCTTCTGGCAAATCACAAGAACATAATGCTGACAGCCAATATGAATGAAGAAGAGTAGAATTGAACTTTAAGATTTGAACACTGAGGTAAGGGAAAAAAGGGAAACAATAATCAAGAACTGATAGGTTGAATATTTCTTACGTTTTGGAATGCCTAAGGCAGAAATACAAATACTGCTTGGAGTTTTTGGTTGATCCTTACATATATCCTATTCAGGGCCTTCATTATGCTGATCATCATCACAATCTTCAGTATCATAGTAATACTCTTTGTCATCTGGTGAAGGAAGCATCTCTAGGAGGTCAACTGGGGAAGGTGGTTTAAGTGTGAAATGCACTTGAGTTTTTGGAATCATGTTGCCAAAAACATCCCACACCCTCCCTACAGTAATAGAGGGTATCAAATATAACCAAATCCACTATTATTTAATTGACTGGTTTTAAAAAATCCACCCTTTTTTGAACATTTATTTGGGGCCCAGTGATGCAAAAAAAAGGTTTTGGAAAAGTGGCTGGGTTTTAATGGTGGATTTCCTATAGTTGATACCCCCTAATATGGTCAAATTGAACCCCTGGTTGGCAGATCAATGCTGATGTGACATTGTGGAACCAAGGTGGGGTGTGGGTAAACATACTATCAATGATTGGGTAATCCTTTCTTAAGTAGCTGTTTGCTTGGTCAATATCAATAACCACAAGTTGATCTGTGGTGCCAAATGCCTCAGGTGTGCAGTGGAAGAACTCATGAGAGCAACCAGGGGATGTTGTTGTCCTGACATCAACTCAGATATCCACACTTGGCTGGAATACTGGGATCCAGACAAAGAGGAAGATTGATTTGTTAGGACAAGTCAGCTCAGATCTCCTAAGAATTAATGTGAGTGTATTTACTTTTTGAATTGAATCTTGACAGTCACACACATCCGCCTCAATGTGACTTCTTCATCTCTCAGATTTTATCTATATCACTATCTTCAATTGTAGGAATATATATTGAATAATTGGATGAGTCAGCAGTAGAAGAACCATTCCTCACTGACTCCTCCCTGTTTCCTTTGCAGGTTGAGGGATTTAACCACAAATAAACCTTCTTCTTTACTCTTCTTGTTAACACTCATAGCACAACCCATTAAGGATAGTAGCATAAAGGCTGACAGCCTTGCCCTTAGCACAATCAGCATTTGATAGAGACTGTCAGAAGCTGAGGCAGCTTAAGTGATCAAAAGGTGTTTGAAACAGAGGTTGAAGACCAGAGGAACTCATCACCTCTTGCCATTTTGAATTGAAAAGCAGTGGTATTTCTTTGGCTAGGTGGTCCATTATTAGATCATGAGTCAACTTTGCAGCGAGTTGATCCATCAAATGTATAAAGATAATGGGTGGCTGGGCCTCTCTGCTTCAAATAGTACATCCATTGACAAAGAGGAGATTTGTTCAATGTTCTGCCGGGTAAGAAGGCATCTGAGAGGAGTCTAGATTGGCTCAAACATGAGGACAGCCATTGCGATTAATGGAGGCAGTCACTCACCCCCTTTAGAGTTGCTCAAATAATTGTCAGATTTACAAGTTGCTTGCCCAAACTGTGTTGCTACAAAGCTTACCTCCAGTGAGACCTTTGGAGAACTGGAGGTGAAGGTCTCAAGAATTATATAAGGTGCTCCATGGCTTATTTTAAGGATTGATACATGCACATGAAACACACCAGAATGAGTATGTGGAAGATGGGTGCAAGAATGCTTTGAAAAATGCTTTATTGAGGGGCCTCCAATGTCCAAATGAGCTTGATTTCAATATTCAGAAAGAGAGGGCCATTTTAAGGGTCGAGTAATGAGCATACACTTGGATTGATTGATTTTGGCACTCAGGCATTACAGGTGACAGAATAGAGGATCTGTTTGAAATCCTGCTGAGAATCTTTTTTAATTGGGAGTTGTTGTTTGGGAATGGATTAATGAGTATGGCACAACAGGAGTGATGGCTGAGTTGTAATGAAAATGTGGTTTGCTGTCTTCAAATGGCAATTCAGGCATTGGAAGTCAGTGTACACAGCAGATGAGATCTGAATCAATTGCAGAATTGCCCCCCCCCCCTTGGAATTTAGGGGTACTTAGAAATGAGATAATCTTTTTTGGACCTCTTTACCAACATCTTCACCGCAATCACAAGGCCAACCTTCAGAAAGCTGCGACACATTGGGTGATTACCACTCTCCTACATATCTAATCTACACAGATAGTGATGAGTTCATTTGCTAAATCAAACTGTTTGCTGTAACTCTAGCTCACTAATCTACCCTACAATATTTGCAAAAGAGGGGCAATCTGGTAAACAAGCCCAAAATGAAGAACAGGAAGATATAGCTTCTGTGATTCCCCCAATTTTCTCAGAGGTCAACAGGCAATCACCAAACCCCTTGAGCTCACCCAGTCTGGCCAGGCTACCTTACACGCTACAGAGAATCTGCTCAAGCCAAATGCTCATCTTGATAATGTGATTGAAGAAGAGCCTGAACCAACAGGTAATGAGTGTGTTGTAATGTCACTGTTATCTCTTATTTTTTCCTCCTGCTGTGCTCCTGAAAGATACAAGTTTGCAGCTCTGAAAGGTTCTGATAAGATTGGAGGGTTTATTAGGGGGTATCAAATATAAGAAATCCACTATTAGAAACCAGTCAATTATCCAAAAATATTGTTTTCCACCAATGGGTCCACAAAGGGGTAGGATGAAGAACCAACATTTTTAAAAAATGGTGGTTTTTTCAAAACCAGTCAATTAAAAAAGGGTGGATTTGATTATATTTGATACCCCCTATTATTGACTTTTTGAAGAAACTTAAGTATTCTGCTGAGAAGGCTGAATGGCCTACAGGGTTCATTAAAAGAGGTTAAATGCAAGTAACCCTTCCAATCAAAGATAATTATCACCCAGGTAGACCAAGAGGAGTAGAGGGACAGACTTGTTGCTTTGGTGAGTTCCAAAATCAGTTGACATCCATTCAAGCTGCCGAAGTCTGTCTCTTGATTGTTTGATTATTCCTTCATCACAGTTCCTCCAGGTGTTGGACGTCTCACATATGGCTACTTTAAAAAGGGATACCAATGTTGATCAGGTGAGTTTTGATAATCTTAACACTGACTCCAAGGACTTGCATCAATCACTGCTTGTTTTGTGGTCCACAGGGATGTTTGTTATCACAACATTCCCCTTGGAATGTTTTTTATCACAACATTCCCCTCTTCATCAAGTAAGATTGTGTTGGTGAGGCATGCTTGGATACATATGTATGTAGAGAGTTTTAAAGCATTTTGAATCATCTTTGGAAGCTTGTTGACAGATAATCTATGACCTTTCAAGAACTTTTGACATTGAGAGGATCCATTTTTTCCTTGTCAAGAGTAACAATCACTTTGATAAACTCTCTTAAATCATATTTCATGGTGACCTGAAGAGTTCTTGCACAGTGGACAAAAATAGGGTCACTGTCAATGGAGATGCAGCATCAACATTGATCCCTCCGATGGAGGCCATGAAGGATGTTATTCCTGGAAAACATGTCAAGACGATGTTAATTGTTGAAAAGGAGGTGTGCCAAACCCCATAGGATCCAGGCCTGGGGCCTAAGGATGGCCCATTGAGGGCTTGATCAGGCCTTTGAAAAAAAGGCTTGGGGAGGGGTTCCTATTGGCCTTGAGACTGTACATGGCTCAAGGCCAAGAGGAATCACTCTCAGCCTTGAGACCTTGTACAGTCTCAAGGCCGAGAGGAGCACGCCCCTCTTGGCCTGCATCTGTGACCATAATGTCTCAATCCTATGATTTTGGGCGGACTTGGTGTGATGCATATGGTTCTTTGACTCCTTGAGAGGGATTCGGCCAAATTCATGAGAGAGCTTCATTTAATATCATGACATATCTGGAGTGTCTGTATGATGGTCCACAGTGACCTTCTGAGAGCTCCGCCTACTTTTTTGACCAGATGGAGGAAGTACACACCAAGGTGCTGAGGGGCGTTATTTGTCACATGGAGGTGGAGGCCTAGAAATTGGCAAGACCAGGCCCCAAGGAATCCATAGCCCATCATACCAAAACTCTTTAATTGTTTGTGACCATCACAAGCCCAAATGTGGTTTGGATAATGGGTCCTGAAGATGAGATGTTTATAGGTTTGCCACAATTGGAAAGCCATGCCTTGTGGATCAATGAGCTTGAGTGAATCATGTTTTTTTTGCTCACATATAAGGGGTTGACTTTCAATAAGTGGGAATGGACAGCTCCTCATGAAGATGGTTCTCATTCTCCTATAACCAGCTTGGCCCTCTAGTACGTACTCTTGTGCATGTGCAACAGCTTCATACACTTCCATCATGTTCACCTTGTCATCTGCCACATTGTTCTGGAGGATTTTAACTTGAAATGGATTCATATATATACTGCTTGATGGTCCATGAGCATACGTTAACACCAATCTCATTCTTTCAAGTGGAGGCCTTCCAAGTGAGATGACAAGATGGATCAAGGAGATATGGGGGTTTTTGGGTCTGGCGTTTTTTGAGTGAGGGCGCCAGCTGACATGGATATTATGCTGATGACAACGATTGCAA